ACTATGGTTAGAATGAAAACCTGACTGAAACTTCTCATATAAATTGTTTGATATTAGATATGCATTTAGTTGTTTAAAAACAACTTTTTCTAAGACTTTACTTAGAAAAGGTAGGTTTGATATTGGTCTAACATTATTTTGTGTAGAAGGATCCATGCTACTCTTTTTTAGCAGAGAAAAAAAAAGTTTCATTTTTTAAGATGATGGTTGAAAAGACGCTATCCTGAACCGCTCATAACTGATTCGTTCAGATATCACCAGCAACCAGTCTGCTGCCAGACTGTTTAGGATCTCAGCATGTTTAAGATCTCAACGACATTCAATTAAAAGTCAGGGAACTGTACGGATTATTCCAAAAGCATCAACTTGCATGTCCTGAAATAGGTCAAGGTGGATTTTGAGGAATATTTTGGACCACTGTCCTGTTGTAGATGACAACCTATTTTCAGCTTTAGTTTCTGGACATTTGGTTTAGAATTTGATATTTAGTGGAACCCTATTTTTCATCTAATGCAACAGACCCACCCAATGCTTAACAGCTGGCAAGGTGTTTGGTCACAGAAGTCATAGAGTTCCATTTTACTTCATCAGTCCATAGCACTTGTGTCCAAAATAGCTTTCTGGCTTATCTGGATTAGCCTCATGAGTCAATTAAGGCCTAACAAGTTAATTAATTAAGCCTTCACAAAAGGAAAGTTGTCCAAGGTTTTGCACATGGATTGCATTAACATTTGCTGTTTTTATAGTTTGCTGCAGAGGGTGTATTTCAGATGTACATATTGTTCTTCTTTTTTCACAGTGTCATGGCAAAACCATTTCCCACCATTTTCATTGTTAGTTATGATCCATTGTTATAAACATTGCTGTGTCACAAAACAATGTTTTGACAGTACCCCAGTACTCACAGGATGTGGCTAAGCTCCTGTAGCTGCTCCAGGGCTTCCTTACACCAGCACAGCTGAGGCAGGGCAGCACAGCCTGGACACACACAGTCCCCATCAGCCTCCGCTGGGCCCTCGTCCCCCTCTAGGCTCTCTCCCACGTGGCGCATGTGCACAGAGAAGGTACGACTATAGAACTCCAGCACCCGCTGCTGGAGCACCGGTGAGGGAGAGAAGAGAAGGATCGCACGGATGACCGAAAAGGCCCTTTCTCGCAGACCGTGGGCTCCGGGGCCCACCAGACCCCCCCGGCCCTCATCCTGCCATGAGCCCAGCCGCTCAAGCCCACCTGAAAGCAGAGAATCAAACAACAGAAAGAAGTGGGGATGCACATACACTAATAGGAATGCACCAAAATTTCAGCCACAGAAAAATTTTAGCTGAAAATGGTAAAAAGTGGCCCTTTTGATTTTTAGCTGAAACAGGAAAAAAAAAAAGCCTGGCCATAAAGCAAGACATTAAATAAGACTACAACAAAGTGTCTAAATCTAACAATTAATAAATAATCTGAATGATACTGAGAATAAGGACATTCAATAAAAAGCTACCAAAAAAAAGTTTTCGGTTTCAGTTTTAGGCCAGGTGTGTCCTTAATGTCAGTTTAAATCTCTGACCAAATGACTCAAAAAATTGAATACACAGAATACACAAATGCTTTTTTATTTTTAAATTTGAAAATAGCCAGAAAACTTTATTTTGTCAAAGAAAAATAAAATCAACATATACTGTGTATATGTAATTATTATTATTATAATAATTATAGCTAGGTCTGTCACAATTATACACACAATTTTACATGATCACCTGCAATTACAACTGCAATTATTAGAGATTTTCACAATTAATAATTTTCCACAGTCGTTAGATTTCACAGTCGTATTATGTTGCAACAAACAAATCCTGAATTGGGAGTGTTCGGTTGAAGCAAATACATGTAAAGGAAAGAAAGCAGTAAATGCATTACTTGAGGCATCATGAGTTACAAACAAAGCAAACAAAAAATTCTAACTTCTAATGTGGTTTAGAAGTGTTTAGTGTTTAAAACGCAGGGTTAAGTAATGTAATAATTGACTGAGTGCACACGCTGTATGGGCTTGACAGTACAACCAGTGTTACCTACTAAGCAAACGTAGCTAGCAAGTAAGGTGGCTAATCAGCCACTTTGGCCACTTTCAGCTAGTATTTTAATAGTTTCAAACAATGAACAAGAAAAGGCAACTAAATTTATATGACAATTAATTGCCAGCAAAAACTTCATGATCATGACAGCCCTAATTATAGTCTAAATGATTCTATAATTCCAAAACCGAGGTTGCTGAATCACCACCTTCAGATTAATGTTTGCCACCCTCAAAACCACAGTACATAATTACTGACAAAAGATATAAAACAGTGACTCATAACCAGAGAGATTCTATAGCCATAGTAAACAGCAATCCTTTGGAAGATCCTTCCTAGAGACCAACTATAAGTTTTCCATTCAAATCAAATGTCAAACAAAAGAACACCTACAAAAACAACAGAACACAGCCTACCAAGGAAAGGCTCGAGACGTAGCAAGAGGGTCCTGAAGGCCTCTAGCAGAGCTCTGGCCCTGTCTCTCTCCTGCAAATCCCCATCTGGGTGCTCTAGCCCAGCCCAGAACTCCGGAGCCACAACAGTGGTTAAACGAACCTGAAGGGTCTCCAGCAGCCAGCCCTCCACATACTGACCCAACCCCTGCTCACAAAGCAGGGCCAGAGCATCAGAAATAGTCTCACCAGGAACAGCAGGGGGTGCTACAGGAGACACCTACAGGGAAGATAATGCATGTGTTTATGTGAAGTGTTAAATAAAAAGGTATTCTGGCAGTGAGTTTTTGAACAATGTTTTTAAACGTGCCACATTGTGTCTGTACATTCATCAACCCATGTTTCTGATAATGTTTGGATTGGACTGTTGTTCTTTTAGAACAACATAGTGTACTAGCAAGTCTATTAGTTTAACTAAAACTAAAAATCAATATTGTGTGCAACACTAATACGGGTTGTATACTAGTATAGACAATATATATTACACAACAGCAGTCATCTATGCATATTCATTTTCACATAAAGATTTCAGGGATTCCAGACTCTGATTCCTCTGACAACTTTCATATGAAAAGGGGTATTCCGATTTTTCTAAATCTCTACATAATTAAATCATTGAGATGTAAAGTCATTCAGAGTGGTCTGATGTGACAAGCTGCATTGCAGACAAACTTACTCAGATTTTCTTTACAGTGGTGGGGTTGCGATGGCTACCACACAAATATATTAAGTCATTTTATTTACTATCTAAAATGACCAGTGAACCTACACATGCCTTCTAAATTTTTATATGTAATGTTGATAATCAGACAAAATATGCCTTTGTTCAGTACTATTTTCCCATATAACACACTGCTTTCAGGCAAAACCTTATACCAAAATTATTGTAAAACAATGTCTTTTAGAGAAAAGGTGTCTATTGTTATGCGCAAAGGGCTGGTGTGACCGGAGGTTTTCTCCTTTAAAGCCCTCGCGTAAACAAATAAACCAAGTTCGAACCTGCCTGGTGCAGCCTACTGACTTTAACGCTGAACGTAAACTGGTCTTCCTCTGCTGGTGAACTGGTCAAATTAGCTTTTAGCTAACTACATTTACATTTACAGTAAATTCGCAATGCGTAGTAATTTAATGTGAGGACGGCTGTGTTTCTCTCAAGCTCACCAGTGTAGCAGTCACAGCGGCCCAGGCTGCAGGCAGTCCGGGCGGCATTGAAACCGACCGGCCGTCCTTCATTCCGGTAGGTCCGTGTGTTTGGCCAACCTACGAACGTAACGCCTGATCTGGACCCAACATTTTCAAGGAATTCGCCTGGTTCACGAACAACAGACAGCTGTACTTTATGTTCGAACGAGGTCTCAGCTGTTTATTTCCCTCTAGTAGATCGCGCCCTTCTTCAAGCCTCTGTCCCACTGTGATGACGTCAACGGCGCCGATAACGTTGACGTTTTTAAGTTGTTTAATTCGTTTTAGATTCAAATATATATGAAAAAGATTTCAATCTCAAAATCTGAATAAAAAATGTACATTAAAATAAGAAATACTTCATGTTGTTTAACATCAGCTAATCGTTGCTGAGACGCACGCGACTGATCAAAACGTCAGGTGGCAGACTAACGTTAGCGTCGACAGAGGGCTACATTAAACATACAAATGTAACATAAAACATTACTACTACTACTACTAATACTACTGCTACTACTACTACTACTACTACTACTAATAATAATAATAATAATAATAATAATAATAACAAAAAACAAACAAACAAACAAAAAAAAACAAATAGGGTGCGATTCTTAAAGATAATCAGTTCTCTCTTGCAGCAATTCTTCTTAAATGAACCAGATTTTTTGGCATTCCTGCGTGAAACTGACGTAAGCACGCCTGTTAGTACTGTTAAACAAAACTAAAAATGCGTGCATATTACGGCACACATGTTTATTTGTAAACATCTGGAACTTGGATTTCTTCACAGTGGTGCTGATCAAAGGAACCAGAAGTCTACAACACAAACATAGTCATTTTATTTACTATCCAGAACCATAGATGTACATACATGTATGTATAATTATGTCCAAAACCACCAGCAAGCCTTCACGTGGCCTCTGCGTTTACATATGTAATGCTGACAATGGTAAAATAGTGGTAAACTAATAAAATGTAAAACGCACCAATAGTCTCAGACATTAGGCAGCGTATTCAACCAGTTCATGCAACCTTTTGTGATGGAGCTTTTAAAGGCAGGTGTCTGGTTCCTATCACCACCTCTGTGAAGAACTGTTACTCTAGAACGGAGCATTTCACATCACACCCCTCTGAATGACTTTGCTTACTTTGAATAATTTGCAAATTTCCAAAAAGAGTTTTTGGTCCCATTTGATCATAAAAATAAACTTCACTAGTCATAGTCAGGCCTCCACACTCCAGCCCAATTGGTGGCAGTCATGCACTAAATCGCTGTTTTTCCAAATGCCATAAACCAACAGAAGAAGAAGAAGAAAAACGAAGCGCTGGTCGCCGAAGTTGCTCTAGAAACAGGAGAGAGACTTGACTAGGATGATGTGAATGGCTCTAGCACAAACTCTCTTCTGAGTTAGCTTACATAAGTTTGAGAAGGTGGTCTTTCAAGCAAGACGTGGACTTTGAAGAAAGCAGCTGTCAAGCATATTTATACCGTAGACGAAACTGCTGAGTAGAAAGTCAGCATGACCCAACAAGGAGCCGCACTGCAAACATACAACAACGAACTCGTGAAGTGTAAGTATGATTATAACGTTGTAACGTTTATAGTCCACAATATAATATAGTCTATAAATTTAATAACGTTAAATTCGTCATCTGTTTTGCTTAGGTTGTTAACTAGCTTTAGTGAAATATGCCGGCTGGCGCGGCTAATGTCGTTATCCCAACTGATAGAACTAGCTAACGTTAAGTGGCTTGCAGATTTGTATTAAGTAGCTAACGCTGGCTAGCGTAGCTAGCTAGAGAGCTGACAGAAAGCAATGGCAGCCATACATAAACGTTTTCAATTAAATCCTGTAATATTTATGTATTTTTTTTTTTTTACAAGAGACATAGTCACAAAGTAGCTTTAAAGAAAGTAAACTAGTGAAGTAGGTTGGGTTTTCTGTTTTGCCGTCAATAGCAGCAAATAGGTGTACAGCTTAGATGTTCACTTATTGACTTGCATTAGTATGTCTGTATTAAAGCGCCCATATCATATATTTACATTGTATAGTTTTTCCCCCCTAAGGCCCACATTTGTGTGGTTTTATGTACTTGAAACAGTTATAATTCGTTTTTGCATAATCAGTTTCAAACCTATCTTTATACCGAATTAAATAAACTGTTTTACTGTGCCTTTAACGCTTGTATATATGTAAATGAGCTATGTTCTGCCCTATGTTTAGCTCGTTTAAAAAAGTAGTCGAGGCTGAAACTCTCCTTGTAACAGCATGTTTTGATTTGTATTTGACATATAAGCACAATTTACTACAATATTTACACATTGCTTTAGCCCCTTAAATTCTTTTAAGTAAAAAGAAAAAAAAAAAATGAGAAGTGGTTTTCTATGATATGGGCCCTTTAGCAAAACTGGCCACTCCTTTGTTAGGAGTGCAGGGAGATAAAGCGTCAGCTAGGCATGCTGCTCAGGAGATCTGCACCTGTGACATATCTCGCTGATGTAATTAATGCCACAGCAAACATACATGTCCCCCGTTCATTATCACTTTTACACGATTCAGCAAGAAGTCTGCTGAGAGAGGCTTTATTTGTACATAAACACACTCCCTCTCACATTTCATTACATGGACCTCACAGTAATGTGCTGCACCTTTTTGTAGCTCATGTTGTTGTTCTGAGTTGTTCAAAGAAAGGATAGAATATTCTTATAATCTTATGTACTTCAGAACCTCATATACAGATAAAAATCTGAGTCGCAAGTAGGTTCAAGAGATTATGTAAATTATATAAAATCTTATACTGTAGGCAGTCAGCCTAATTCATATATTTATGTATCAAAACACGTGGTTAAAAGCAAGTCACTCATCCAGTTGTTTTTTCTCTTCAGGTATAGAGGAGCTGTGCTTTAAGAGGGATGAGCTGAATAAGCTGATCCAGCAGGAGGAAGCAGAGAAAGCTCGTCTACAGCATGACATCCGCGTGCTGACAGAGAAGCTGAGTCGTGTGAACGAGAGCCTGGCCCACCGCCTCAATGCCCGCGCTGAATTCGACCGCACCATCGCTGAGACTGAGGCTGCATACATGAAGGTTAGCACACAGGCCTTATTTAGCTTTAGAACAAGTTGAGTGATGTGAAATCTTCCATTAATACCACATTTATTGTATTGAACACAGATGACGACATAGACAAAATTGTCATAGAAACACGACTCTTCAGTTGCTCTGGTTGAATGCGCTCAGGGAGAGGCACTGTGTGCCTTTGCAGCAGACAGATAACATACATAAAGCTGACTATGGTAGGGCGTAGGTTTTGGCTTTGCATCTCGGGAAAAACACTGTTGTGTTTCAGCTTTTGTACAGTCAGACATCTGGGTAAGCAGACTTGGACAGTTTGTGTGACATTTGAAACTGCATTTCCGTTCTTTTTTTACTAGATAAATTATAGTTTTATGGCCAAATGATTAAGGGGTCTCAAAGTCAGATCACCTAGAGGCCACTAGCCAGATATGAATCTTAACTACATAACAAACACACTCATTCAAGTGCATCTTAGTCAATGTTTATTAGAAATTCTTGTTTCCCCACAAACCACAACTACTACTATTAATCATAATAATAATTATTGTTACTATTAGTAATAGTAGTAGTAGTAGTAGTAGTAGTATAAACACATAGAGGTTAATAAATATCATAGTGTTTAATTAGAGTAGTAAAGTAAAGATGTACAGTAAACTTACATCCAACAGTAAAAATTATATGGGACTCTTTTTATGATAAGCAGTGGCTTATCATGTTATGGGAAGTTACTATGAGTGAAATGTTGGGAAAGCAGTCAGATTCTTGTATATTCGTCTGATAATTCCATACATTTCTTAATTCTCACACGCTGTATTTACTGCTATGTCGTGAATTAATCCATAAAGACAGATCGAACTGATTATCGGTCTAAATTACAATAATAGGTATGTTTGTTATAGCTAAATTACAGCCATGCCAATGTTCATGCTGTGTCAGGTTTTTGTTTGAATGGTTCTTTTTGCACGCAGCTAACTTTTTTTTTACTTTTAGAATTGTAAGCCTTCTTCTGAATTGATTTAGTCACAGTATCTGATGGGTAAACAAATCTAGATAAAATATTTTGCCACAAAAAAGAGATTTGTGGGCCGGTTTTAAGGAAAATGTGTAAATACTATGTGCAGTCACTGTGTTCCCACCCTAGTCCCCTTAAGTGTTAGGGACCATTGCAAAATAACTGGAAGAAAACATTTGGAAATGCTTTGTGTAAATAAAAAAAATGAGGAGAAAAGAAAAAAGACTCAATTTGACGGTTTATTGCAGTTATTTTTGGACTCCACCAGGTAAAACCCACAATGGGTTTCAATTTTTATTTGATTATTATTATTAGTAGTAGTAGTAGTATTTTGTTTTTTATTTTGCTGTTAGTTCAGTAAAACTTGTGGAACAGGGTTTATGTGATTTGTAGCTTGATCATATGTTGTAAGTAAATGTTTGAACAGAGTTTTCCTCATAAATGTCCCCTATTTATAAACTTTTATTTAAGCTTAGATCAGCCACTGGGAATTATCTCATTACAGCTTATGCTCTCAAATCAGGGTACCAACCAGTGGTCCTGACTCTCAAAACCTTGCTACATTTCTTTGGATCAAAACAAACACGGCAGTCAATCTGGCAACCTGGTAGTTGTGCGTGCATTCTGCAGAGGACGTGAAAGAAAACATATTATTTGGATTTTACAATGTTGATGAGGACAAAAGAAGTTTAATTATCCTGTTCAATTTGGCTCTCGTTAGTATCAAGATTTTCACGGATGACATCAACATTTGCACTTCATATGAGACCCTTAGGGATCCTCCACACTACAGGATGTTGAGTCAAGCATTGAAAACGTTAAGAATTTATCTTTCGAAATTGGTATAGCCACAACTAAACTGTGACTACACCACACCACAGAATAACCTGGGAAGGTGATCATTTAATATTAGTCTGAAATCAGGAACGCTGGGAGGACCAAGTATGTAATGTGGAACAGGCATAACTGTGTCTAGATGGAGGTTGATTTCTCAGATCCACTCCATCCCCAGATACATGTATTTTTTCGTAGCTGATATGTATGGAAACTGTAAGTTCTTAGAGGTGGAACGTAACATATAACCAATGTAATGGTACTTTAGTACATTTGTCTTTATGATGGTATTTTCCTGAGTATAATTAAACCATAGCAAGTTTACTTCTACTTAAGTTTATTTCTTATGAAGTATTAAAAATGTCCACGTTTCACAACTCAACTTTCAACCTGAGGAAGTAGTAAGTTGGGTGGCTAACGAGCTTCTGTGTTCTTTTACTACGTCTTTTTGTTAATCAATCACATCAGAACTTTATTAAACTTAAGGCTGTGGCATTAACATTATATTAAGAGTGCTTGCTAGCTTGCTAATTTAGCTAATGCAGGCTCAAGGTAAGCTTATTAGTCAGCCTGTAAATCTAGTCAGACTGAGCAACAGACCTTCTTTCTGTAAAGCAGAAATATTAAAAATATTAATTTGTATTTATTGAAAAAGTGTTTGTATTATAATAAAATTGAGTGTTATGTCCAGCAAAGTTGGAATGAAAAAACAGAAACAAACATGGTTTAAAATTGCTTATCTGACTTATCTGGGAACTGTCTGGGCGTGGTCCTAATATTCTGATGAACGTGTGTGACTGACATCCTTCAGTCCACGGCCCCAGTCTGCTATGAAGCAGAACTGAACCCAACAGTGTGAGCAGGGAGAAGTGAGTGAAATGGGCTCTACGTATCGTCACCATCCAAAAAGAATCTCCATTTTTTTTTCAGTTTTTATTTTTGTAAATCTGGTGGTCCTTAACATTGTGCGGCAATTTTATGAACCAATAGAAATGCTCCTAAATCATTTTACATTAACTCATATTAAAAGCAAAGAAGGTTTTTGCCATCTCCTGTAAAGTTATCGTTTTTTGGGGGGGTTTTTTGGATGACGACGATATGCAGGTCATGTTGTAGATCAGGCATGTCAAACGGGGACCTCCTGGGTCAAAGTGCTGCAGAGGTTAGTGTTTACCCTCATCTCACGCCCTGAATTCAGTTCACGAAGGCCTTGCTAATTAGCTGATGAGCCTGAATCAGGTGTGTTTATTGAGGCAGTGTGCTGAAGTCTGCAGTGTTTTGGCCCATGAGGACTGGAACTTGACACGTGTTGTAGACCATCCACCTCTATGTCCAAGGCTCACTAAAAAAACATTATCCAGCGTTAATATGGCAGAGAAGGTAAGGTTCTTAGACACATTACTGATTGATATGCATCCAGAGAATGCTTTTGTGGCCAGTTAACTGGACAAATGGACATTCTTGCTAGCTTTTTTGTAGTAAGTTTCTGCGACTTGAATAGAGAGAATGAGACTGTTGAGGAACACAGTTTTGTTAAAGCTGTGTGGGTGGGTCAACACATGAGCCTTGTGATTGGTGAGCATACTGCTTACATGTGCAATACCCAAGATTAATATAGCCCTGTTTACATTGAGAGAGTGGAATATTGGCAAAATTCATCAGCCATTTAATGGGCATTGGAAAGATATTCACAAGACATACATTGTACATGTATATTGTGTGCCTACAAGAACAAGATTAACCTACTTAGAAAGAAAACAATTTTAGGTTCCCTGGGCTTTAACCAGAAGTAACTGACTTGAGATGTATTTCCAATGAACAGCTTATTCTTACTTGAATATTTTTTTTTAATTTATATATTTACTTGTATTTGAGTGAATTCTGCAATACCACAGCACTGCATAGTTTTGACTATTCCCTGCCCCAACACTCTTGATTCAACTCATCAACTATTTATGAAGCACTGCATGGGCTGGATCAGCGTGTTGGGGCAGGGAATAGTTAAAACTGTGCAATGATGTGGGTCCCCATGAACAGGATTTAAGGTACTGACCTAAAGTAACTCAATTAAGTACTTTTTTCAATAGTCAACGTATTTACTTGTTTATTAAATTGTACTTGCGTTCAAGTGAATTGATACCCCAGTACAACCTTTGCTAATTCCCCTTTTCTCTATCAGATTCTTGAAAGTTCGCAGACCCTGTTGAGTGTTCTGAAGAAGGAGACGGGGAACCTCGCCAAAGCTGCTGAACCCAGGAGCAGCAAAGATCATTGACCTCTATTGAATTGTCATTTTTCCCCCAAATCTCCCTTTCCTGTGTTGTCGTCTTGTCCACTGTATTCCCTCCTACTCTTCTTCCTCACCAGCATTTATCCCTTCTGTCTTTACAATCACTGTATCTAAACTGTGTAGATAGCTGTTATTGTTACATTTTGATATTGCATTAAATGTCTACTAGAATAATTCATTATATTTAAATTATATCTTTTAATAAAGACTATTTCCAGTAACATCTTGTTTCAGGGTGTAGTCTGACAAGGTCTTACTTATGCCTTAAGCTATAGTGTTCTATACAATCTCTTTAGAAGAACAAGTCTCATAACTGCCTTCAGTTTATTGAAACTTTTTTTTTTATTTGCATGTTTTGAACAGTTTTCTCCTTCTCTGAAATCATCAACATACAAATTGTACAAGTAAGATTTCTCTTGACGCCAGCGACAGAAATGACAAGAAAAGAAAGGCTTTAACATACAGTACAAATATAGCTAGCTGTTTCCTCTGTGGAAATAAGCAGTATGGGGCTGAGCAGACGATGGATGGACATGTTCAAGAAGCACTTTTGAACCAGAAGTGCATTAAAACGCCTTTTTCTTCAAAAGCACAAGTTCCTATCCTTTGTCTTCAAAGAGTCTCAAGCTATCTAATGTTATAGAACATCTCAAACACTGTTTTATTGCCTAATCACCAGTGTGTTCCTTACTTGATCTTCATGGGATGAAGTATCTAGCAAATATCTGAGAGGTATGGAAAACTGGTTAAAGAACCTACGGTACTATGCAAAAGTCAGAGACCACCCTTCTTTCAATTTTCAAAATTCCAGTGAAAAGTGAAAAACAGGAGTTTCCCCAAATGGTTGTTGCAAAAAAAAGTAATTAAAATATCTAGAAAATTGGACTCCTAACAGTGCAAACCTTGGTAAACCACCAAAACTGTCACCATCAGATAAACAGTACTGAGAAGAAGCTCAAGGCCCATTCTTTCTTCAGATCTGAAAAAAGCCATTACTGAGAAAAGGAAATGGGGGGAAAAGAAAATTTGCAAATCAAACAAGGAAGTGATTTCACAAGGAAATGTTTTCAGAACAATGGACTTCAGGGCTCATACCTCAACATCATTTGAATGTTTTTTGGAATGCTTGGAGTGTGAGAAGCAGAAAGTACAACCAACTTCTAAGACTGAACTTTGGAGATGTGGGAAATGTATCCCTGCCGATTTCTTTGGGAAAAAAACCTGAAAGCATTTCTCCCAAAAAGAATAAGAGCTAAAGAAGGCAAAAGGTGGGCACATTAAACACTGGAATAAAATCTTAGATTTAGTTGTTTACACTTCTCTGTAATTTGTCAAATATTTTTTTTCTGCTTTTTTCTGATGCTGAAGAATAACTAACTTATGGCTGTTTTGGCCGGAAATTAAATGATGGGTGGTCTCTGACTTTTGCACAGTATCGTATGTATGACGTAAACTGGAGCAAGTTAGAGGAATTTGTCCGTTGTATTCACACTGTCTCTACCCAGGATAGTGTGGTCAAATGGTGAAGGAGTACGGGATAGTCTGAAATATTCAACTGGTGCCGTAACTCTCCAAAAAGCATCAGTCCATCCATGAGAGTGCTACAGGAAGTCTTCCCTAACAATCTCAGCTGAAACTTGCAGCTTTCAAGCATGACTACATGAGGTGCAAAATAAAGCAAAAACAAACAAAAACACAGTGCAATTGAAAAGTAAAACCATTGAGGAAAAAAGCACCTTAGTGCTACAGTTGACTTGCAGGATTTCTGACTAAATTCCCATGAAGATATGTAAAAAGACGCAATAAAAAAGTATCTGTGTAATAAATTATGAAAAACATCCTCCCAGAGTGTAGAAACTATACATCAATACTGGCCAAAGAAGCGCATATAGAGATCAATGATCAGACATGCAGTGCCTGTCACTGCAATTAACAGACATAAACACACACACACACACACACACGCAGACACTGCGGTCAGTTGGCATTGTGTGTGTGCAGTCAGACTTTTTGTCCTTACATACATACACTCACACGTGCACACATACATTCTAATTAATGAATGTTTCCTTCATAACAAAAAATGGACCACTCTTTTCTGTGCTCACTGGAATGTGAAAAAATTTAAAGTCCAGAAGAAGCGGTCACAAACAGAGCAAAAGAAATAAGTGGCCTATTGATAGTTTGGTCCAATTCAAAAACAAAACAGAAACTACTTAAACTGACCTGCTATTATGCCTCTATAACACCATCACTATTCTAGGTTCATGTGATATCACCTTCAAGACAGCCTTTACCCAAATACACTATGGACTAGTTTCATGCCCAGATTAAGCTTAAACCTAGACTAAAAAGCATTTTTTATCACCGAAATCACCATTGGCATTACAGTTTAGTCCAAGACTAGACTTAATGCATGTGCAGGAATCTGGCTGTATATGATCAAAAATTTGTAGACACCTGCTTATCCATTGTTTCTTCTGAAATGAAGGGTATTAATAAGGAGATAACTAGATGCTGGAGCATTGCTGTGAGGATTTGAGCACTAACAAGAACATTAGTAAGGTCAGGTACTGATGTTTGATTAATTAAGGATCACAAATGCCACTCTGACTCATCCAAAAGGTATTGGATGGTGCTCCATCACTCCAGTGGATGCAGTTCCACTGCTCCATAGACCAATGCTGGGGGGGCTTTATGACCCTCTAGCTAGTGCTTAGTATTAGACATAATGACCTGTGACCTTAAGCTCACGTGCAGCTCCAGTGTTTAATTTTGTTTGCAATGCCTTTCTATGGAGATTACTGATTAACTACAGCAGCTTAATTTAGCTATATTCACTATTTAGAAGGTGTGTCTGAATACTTTTGTCCACTGACACAGACATAAAAACTGTGATGCTCTACTTACTGTTGCCACCAAATGTGATGTGTGATGTTCAAAAAGTGTTAAGAATGTATAGCAGGCCTGCTTATGCAGTGTTAAGTGTCCCATTGAAAACATCGGCATTGCCGGTCCTCGCTTTCTTGATCCGTGACATATCCTATGAGAGTTACTCAAACGCTGGTGTGGTTGGCTCCACAAATGTGCCTCATAGCTGCGGAAAGATTTTACTGTTCCAAATGAGCAAACCAGATGAGGGAGGCCATTGGATATAAACTTCAGATTTATGTCCACCACATTGGACACAACATAGACTGAGAAAACATGAAACATACAAATGTAAAAGTGGTGCAGGTATACTGTTTGGGAGCCTTGTTGATACACATGCACATACAAAAAGGAAAAAAAAAAAATCACGAAGAACAAGAATTGTGGCACCCTTTCACTAGTTATGTCTTCTATGTCTACTGTCTCTTGTCAGATTTTTTTTTACTGTCCATTCCTTAGTCCATTCCTTTATTTACATTCGACGAGTCCAAGCATCCTCCTCCATGTTTGAGGAATTTGGTCACTTTCATGAGGTGAGCAGAGTTACACAGAGATGAAGACAGTATGAGAGACACAGATGGAGATATAGAGAAACCCAGCATGGCAACATTCAAGCCTGTAAACCGTGTTTTACAGTCCAGATTCTGTCCCACACTCAAGATGGCCCACCCACAGTCAGACAGTTAGTTTAAAGCACATGGAGATAGACAGGCAACAGATGGACGATGAGACCACCTCAGCTGCTTTGGGTTTTTCCACTGACAGCAGAGATGAAATGGAAAGACTGGAGTTAAGAAGTCCACCCATTTTTGGGTGGATGCTACTGGTTCCTTTCCTATGTGTGTGCACATGTGTGTGTGTGTAGGCCGGTTAGGCTGCTGGTTGGTCCCTTGTGCCTCCAGTTTTGCTGCAAAGTTCAGAAGTAGAGAGCTGGTTCACTGCTGAAGTCTGAGAGGGAGGAGCTGTCTGCTGGTGTCAACTAGAAAAGAAAAGAGACAGAATGAGGCCATTTTGAAAAAGTAGTCTTTCGAATGGGGGATGCACCAAAATGAATTTCTGGGCCAATAACAATAAACATTGACTAGAAAAGGAAGGTTAGTGAACAGATTTTAAGCTGGCTTGGCAAAGCCATCTACTAATGTGGAAAAGTTAATGCAGTTACAGTCTGTTTATAACTTAAGTCAGTTTATGTTGTACTCAATGGTTAAAAGTAGTGGGTTGTTTATGATGTGTTTATGTAGTTGTTTTTGATTTATTTAAGTTAAAGGGGTTATTGTTGTTTGGTTGTTTGAACAGTTGTTGCTTTGGTATTCTATGATACTCTGGGTGGTTGCTAGGTTCGTGCAAAGTAGTTGCTATGGTACTGCAGATAGTTTTTAGGGTGTTGGTAGGCAGTTGCTATAGTAACTTAGGTGGTTTCTAGGGTGTTCCTAGGCAGCCGTTAGGTTGCTAGGTTGTTGTTAGGATATTGTTATGTGGTTGTCATGGTATTTAAGGTGGTTGTTAAGATGTTGCTAAATGGTAGCTAAGGTATCCAAGGTGGTTGATAGGGTGTTACTAAAGGATTGCTGTAGTGTTTGAGGTGCTTAGTACAGGTATAGCAATGTTGTTGGCTGCTGTGTAGTCCAAAGTGGTTGCTAAGGTGTTGCAAGGCAGTTGCTGTGGTATCTTAGGTAGTTCCGAGTGTACTGCAAAGTGGTTGCTATGGCATTGCAGGTTGTTGCTTGTGTGTTGCTATGCGGATATGGTTTTCCAGCTTGTTGCTTTGCAGTTGTTAGGTGGTCGCTTAATCATTGCTGTGGTATTGATAGATGGTTGCTATGGCATTTCAGGATGTTGCTAGAGTGGCAAAGCAATGGCTTAGGTGTCTAAGGTGATTGCTGGGTTGCTATGGTGTTCTAGCTTGTTGAAAGGTGTCTGCTAGGTGGCTGCTAGAAGTATCTGTCTATGAGCATTTGTAGCACGTATTTAGTGTACAGCTGTGTAATAACTATGCAACTACTGTGTAATTATGGTGTATTAGCATGTTGCAACTACTGTGCATGTGTGCAATAATTGTGTAATTGTCATGCATTAGTGCACATGTAGGTAAGAGTGTATAATAGCTATTTAATTATTGTGTATTAGTCTGTATGTGTATGAGTGTATGAGTGGTTAAAAAGCACAAACACACTCCTCGAGTACAGGTTCTACAATTATCTTCATCCCTCTAGTGCCAGCATGTAAATGCAGCATAAAGCAGGTTAAAACTGTAAATATGCATTGTTGACCCAGACATGATGTAGCTAAATTGAGAGTCATTGTAAACTTTTACACATTAAGCAGGGCTCTTAGTAATGTTACTATTTGAAGCGAAAATGGAGTGTGCTTTGCAGTAGGAACACACTTTCCCTCACCTAGGCTAGCCTCAACAAGCTAATTAACTAGTTATGCAAACCATTTTGAGAAGTATGAGTGTAACATACAAAAACCTCATGAATATCTGCTTTAGCTGACTTAAGCATTAGATTTAGATTAGAAACCATGCACAGGTGTCAGCCCACATTTGTTACCTGTTTAAATGACATTTCTTCCACTGTTTTGGAGGTATATGGCCTTATAAGGCTTAGATACAGGATATGTTGTGTAATACAGTTTTGCCCAAATACTTTTGTTGCCTTAAAGTTTGTTTTCCTTTTGTGTTGTATTGCACAAAAGTGATGTGCTCAGACTTTGGGTTTGTGTGAAAACGTGCAAGCCATCAGTGTGTCATTCGGCAGAACTGGAAAAAAGTTGGTATCCCTCATGACACAAATAAGTTTAGGCAAAGATACATTTACTCCTCAATCTCCCCTTTCGGATTATGCTCGAAGAGACTTTCTGTTCCGCCAGCTCATTACAGAAAACAACCTAACAGCTAACTCTCATTCACCCACTGACTGCCTTGTATTTAACAGTATGTAATAGCTATTTAACTTTTAAATAAAGTAAAAATGTAATTTTGGGTTCTGTTATATAGCATATTAAGTAATTAATATGATTACCTGACCACAATAAAGAAAATCAAAACTGTTAAAATTTCTGTTGTTGATGGGGCTGTCACAATCATTAAATTTTACCTGATTGTCATGAATAAACATGATTAACAATGTAATTGTTAATCGTTGTGTGCAACTATTATAATATAAGCCTGAAGTGGCCAACATTGGCTGATTAGCCATCTTGCTCACTAGTTATGTTTACGTATTAGCTAGCAGTGGTTGAACTGTCGAATCAATACTGTGTGCACACTCACACAAACATCTTAATTTACACAGTTATGTGTAGAATTAAGCAAAGCCACATGTTCTTCATGAGAGTAAAAATATGTATTAACAAAAAAACATTCTGCTAGCATACTTGCTAAAGATTAGAATTAGCTAATTAGCTAACAAAGAAACAAACATTACTCAGAACTTTGTTGTTTTATATAAGCCCCATGATGTCTCAATGAATGCATTTACTGCTTTCCTCTAGGTACATTTATTTGCCTCAAGCCAACGCACACAGTTTACAATTTGTTTGATGCCGCATAAAATGACTGTAAAATCTAACGACTGTGGAAAATGACTCCAAACAGCTCAAATAGTTACGATCATCTTAAATAATTGTGGTTAGGCAATCATGTGATAATTATGACAGGCCTAGTTGTTTATGATTTTAATGTTAAAAATGTACTATAAGGGTATCCATGAATTTATACAGTTTGGGGACAGTAAATATAAGGGTTACTATCTCTAGAGGTTGACACCTATAACTATGGGTCATTGCCCTTCCTTTTTGTTGCTCCTTGTGCACAAAGCAGACTAGTAAACTAGCAATGTAAAGTAACAAAGTTATGCTACACAAATTCCAGTCTAATTATTTTGGGAGTTGAAAAAGGAATTGTTAGATAACAATGATTTCTGCAAGTTCTGCTGCTTGAGTCTACATTTATGCTGACACAATCCCTCACGGCCATCTAACAGGAAATAGACTAATGGAAAATCCCTTAGATTGGTGAAATGACAAACTCAATGGCTAACCCAAGACAATGAAGGCTAGTTTAAAACCGTACTGAAACAGAGGACAGGAGTCTTCAAAACAAACAGTTGTTTGTAATTTCAATATCAAACAGATAATAATAATACAAGTTTCAAGCAAAGTAAATAATATACAATAAAGCAATCCCTTACAGCAAGCAGGAAGTTCTACCAGTAAATGTGCATTGCTAAGACAACTTACCATGACTTCCTCTGACATGTTGGTCTGCTGGGAACTGCCGTCTCCAAGGTGTGCAGGGTCATCAAGCTTGTGTTCTTGCCAGGCAGTAAACTCTACGGAATGCTTTGGAGTGTAGTTGGACAGATCTGAAGACACAGGAATGTGAATAGAGTCATTTTAATAATTAAATGACAGTAATTATGACTAACATGCAGAAGTTGGGGCAGCAGTGTGCAGAATTTGTGCTGTAAAGACTAACAATATAGAAAAATCATGCATAACAAGTAATTATTTAAACAAGCAGTTTATGTTACTGTGCCCTTAAGACTGATATATCGCTGCTGTCAGAAGAAAACCTTGTATCTCAATTTTCTCAAAAATCTTGTTTTTCAGTTTTTGACATAATTTGAAAGTGCCTGTTGTCCTTTACATTGTGTGTAAATTTCACAAAGAATGGACCAAAAGAAATGACCCAGAATGACTTGGAAAAAAGTCTGGTTCCACTGACTTACATTAAAAGTTATTAAAGTTAAAGTTATGTATTTTGGAGATACAAGGTTTTCTTCAGACAACAGTGATATGCAAATGACCTCTGTTCTGATTGGTTGCCTTTATTGTGCCTCATTCAAAAAGCAGTCTGATATGACCCTCCTTATGACTTCCATATGAATGGTTGGTGCTGAATTTATAAAGACTTTGGCATCTGCATTGAAAAAACTGACATTTAATGCTCATTTGGAATAAGTAAACAAAAACTATCATCAATCAGGACAGGACTGTTCTATAGGAAGAAAAAAAAAATAGCATTTCTTGACATTTCACAGTGAGGACATAATCTCCACAAATGCCACAGCCTCTGTGATGACACCACTTGAGATTTGTTTACTATAGTGACCTTTTCCACAAGCATCCCTTGATTTCTTCAGAGTGGTGTGATCATCTTGTGCTACACGGAGATTACACCACTGCTTGCCTTTCACTTACAGTGCAGCGCTGTAGAAATCGCAGAGTCAGACCTCCATTACAAGCCTCCTGACATTTACAAATGCATTTAATTCAACCCTCTCCACAGTACTGGCTAATGCTTGTAACCCCATTGACCGCTAATGAATGCTGTTAAAGAGCACATATAATGGAAAAACAAATTTACTTTAATAAAACAGTTTGATATAGTATGTAAATACTGCTAAAATGTCTAAATATGCTGTTCCCACCCCAGTTCATACAGCCCATATATGGAAACTAAGCTGCAAATACAGCCTGTTTTGAATTTACAGTTTTTGTGATGTGAAAATCAACACATTTACATATATCTGCCAATTCAGCCTACAGCAGTTTAGCCTCATCCATTCATGCTGAAGTTAGCGAAGAAGTTTATGACTGCTCTGTTAATGAGGCCCAATAGAGGGCAGCCAATCAGCACAGATATCATTTACATATATCAGTCTCAAAGACACAAACAAAACAAGCCTGAATAATTTTTAATAATGGATAAAGGGAAGTTGGAAAATGGCCAAGTAAATAAGAAATTATTAATTATTTTTGGAACATAAACCCAAGCAAACTTCATAACTAGACCTCTGGGGAAAAAATTAACCTTAATCTCAGTCTTATTACATACTAAGGCTTATTATTCAGTAAATACAGGGACTTCAATGCAAACTGGCTGAGCTATTCTTAGGTTATAGAAGTGTGTAATAAAGGAGTTAAAACAAAAGGAGGACATGGGCCTTTTAAAAGAAAGCATTTAGTTTTCTTAACTTTTTAATTTCGAATGAACTTTAAAATGAACAAATAAAATGACTATACATTTAAAATATCAATTAAAGATGAGCTCCCTAAAGAGTATTTCCACCTCAACACACTTGACCAGCAGGTGTCAGCACTGAGCAACATCACCTTAGTGTTTCATTACACTCTTGACTGCTGGGTGATTGCTTCTGTTTGGCTACATTTACATTAAAGGGTTGAAGTGGTCCAAATTTGCCCAGAGTGTTGTTTTCCACTGTCCCTTGGGGAATACCCCATGTCATATTAAAGGCTGATCTGTAACTGTATTAGCTCAAGTGAAGTCAAATGACTAAATAACAGAGTATCTGCAGCACAGTTTTAAAATTAAACTGCTGTAAATCATCAGCACAGAATGCTTTCATCAATGTAATTACTGTAGAAAATAGTTTTAAACACATGTTAAAATAAGATATGAATAAGCTACATGCAGTTTACTTTAAAAACAAAGAAAAAGCTTATAACATTCTTTTAATTACTTAGGAATTTCTTCCATCTACTCCACTTTTTCTTTTATCATTTTATTTGTTTTCTTAAGATAGAAGATTCCGTAAGTTACACTGTCTGAAAACACAGTGTCTTCACCTAATTAGCTCACTGACTGTAGCTTAGCCAAAGCTAAGAGCTGAATTCTCTCCTAATTTTTTGTGAATAGCAACTTGTTTAATGAAGGTATATCACTTCTGAATTTGAGGTGAAGCACATACATGATTTAGATGATGGTGCTATCATCTAGCCATCATGTTTTTGAATTCCAAATACATAAATAAATGAATAAGTAAAATTAAAAAAGGAAAGCAACAGTAGCCAGATTTCCATCCCGCCAATTAAATAAATTCAAAAGAATGAGTGAAATGTCACAAAATAATATGCAAATGAGTTTACTCTTTATGTTGCATGTGTACAAACATTTATGCAAGGTTTGTTAATCTTTGCCATTTCTATCAAGTCTTTTTTATTCAAGAAGTCAAAATACACATAAAAGCACATGGACGGAAACTCCGCTTGTGACCAAGTGTAGACGATTTGTAAGGTATCTAAAGAAATTAGCTTTGTTGTGATTTGACTCAGAGAGGTAGGAAATATGATGATATTTTATCGTTATCGTTTTATTACCATGACAAACAACATCCTTTTTTGAGCATATTGTGGATATTGTCCGTATTTATAAACATTTTCATGGCACTAGAATGTTGTGTCTGTGTATCAAAATATCATGATATACGTTGTGCATCGTAAAAATGCCTAAGTATTGTGATAAGCATACATCTTGCCATCTTGCCCACCCCTAGTCTTATGACATTATGACTTTTTGGTTTGTTAATGACAAAAGTGGATCATGCAAGAGACATTAATATGGGTGCATCATAGTCCTGGGCAGTGGTCTGTTCACACTAATGAGGTGGATGGGTCACTTGCGAATACAAATTTGTAACACTCTAAATGTAGGTATTTTGACAAAGAGTTACACAGAGTCTAATTTTCATTAGGTTGGATGGGATATCTGTCTTACAATCTAATGAAAATGTTCTATAAATCTTGTTTAACCTCACAACAGTTGCGAGGAAAGCACGTATTTGTGGGCAGAACAAGGACAGATCAATTGAGCAATGAATGATCCAATAATTAATTTAATTGATAAAGTTATCACAGTCAAAATGACAATCAGTATTCCTAAAGGTTTAGCACTATGGTGAAGTTGTCCTGACACTGCGAGAGCAGAAAGCATATCATTAACCCACACTGAATGCATTTCCTTCCCTGCTCATCCATCATCCTCCCTGCACTCCTTCCTGCCATCTTGTCTCTGTCTCTCTCTCTTCCTTTCATTTTATGCATTTCCTTGCTGTCTCTTTCTCTGCTGATCTCACCAGTGCTGTTGGGGGTATGGTTGGTGGGGCTGGAGGTGTAGGTGGGCCGGGGAATGTGGATCCTCTCCATGCTGATTCCTCCGTCTTCCTCTCCTCCTCCGTCTCCTCCTCTTCCTCCCTCTTCCTCCTCCTCTCCGCTGTCCCAGGCGCTGCACTCAGACGGGTACTCGAAAGTGCTTTGCAGGCTGGACTCGTTGAAGGAGATCTTCAACTGTAAAGGAGAAGATTAAAGAGAGTCACTCTGTGCTTTTTTGTATTATTGTTTTGCTATCTGGTGTCAACTCTGGTGTAAAGACTCGCCTCTTGAGTCATTGTTCCTCTGAAGGTTTCTTACTCTTGCTCTTAGGGAGTTTTTCTTGCCACTGTCACCCTGTGTCACCCTTGTGTAAAATACTTTAAATGCTCCCAATACATCACTGCAAATCACATTTTGCTACAGAATTAAATTCTTTCTAATTAGGTTAATCTTATTTTTGCAGGCAAGCAGTAAACATGTACTAAGTAAACTCTTTGAAAATGTTCCAATGACCAATAAATGTCCAATATATTTCACCATATATCTGTCCTTTCAATGTAAACTGAGTTATCATGGGTAACGCTTCCATAAGCAATCCCTTACCAATCACAAGGCTGATGTCTCTTGCCCCTCCCCACACAAAACAGTTTTAGAGTGTGAGAAATTTAGCAAGCTAAAGCTAACCCAGCATAACCAAAAGCTAGCAAACTAGACCACCTGTCTGTAGCTGCCTATTTCCTGTTTCTTTGTTTATCCATATACAAACATTGTCTGTCTGTTTGTTCGTCTGTCCATCTGCATATCTGTTCATCTGTGACCTTTTAGTCCAGTTACTGTCACATAAAAGCTGGATAATGATTTTAGTTCAGTATGAGCGTCGGAGCAGGCTAGATGTGTTGGTACAGAGAGCTGTCAATCAAGCTGCTCATTAGCTGCGTCCACACAGTTCTCAGATAGGTCTGATCAGCGGTTTTTAAGTCGAGTTTCATCATATTTATATCTTAAATTTTTCATTCAATCTTCACTGGATGTTTAATATAACACTTAAGTTTAGTATCATACAATTGGAAAATGGGCCCCCTTAACTGTTTTTCCTAGTCCATGTGTTGAGCTTGTTGGGGAATATGGAGGTGACCCAAAACAGCCTCCAGGCCAACTTGTCTGGGTAAAACCAGTGCAGCCATGGAGACTAAACAGGCCTCGGTCTGGCCTACCACATGTCCCAAAATTATGGCACATTATGTAATTGGCCGCTGAAATGACGTCTCAGGGCAGAAGGCCTGCAGGAAATTTCAAACTAGGTTTGGCTCGTATATTACAGCAACAGCCCATCGCCTGCTTCAAAAAGAACCCCATTTTCCCCCAAGATCTTAGATAAATTTTTACCACTGCTTCTTTTATTTAGGATTTCAGGCACAAAGTAATTGTCAGCCAACAATCTTAACAGCTACAGTCATGCGCAAAAGTTTAGGTGCCCTTGTTCAAGTAACATGTTTTGTTGATTTTTACAGTGAAAATAAGTAGACATTCTCTACAGAGAACACACTTCTGCACATTTTAATGCACAATTACTGTTCATTTGCTGAAATCAACATGTTCTGACAAACTGACAAACCTACATGAGCCATACATAGACCTAGTCTATATTCATGGTAGCACGTCAGTTCAAATGCTGTCAGCCACCAAAAAGAAGGTAGAGCAACACAACAGCAAGGGATTTAACAAAATTTAAACATTAACACCTGACCACATTTCCTTATTGCTGTAATTAGTATGAGGGCTTATCATGACACGTTGAGCACATCAGTTTCGATTAAGCCTAATACTTACACGCTGGCATTACCACATCATGCAACCATAAACAGGGCTTGGAATTCCCATAAACTCAAACTCTTTGAACTATGCTTTCTTTATCTATATTTCTGATTCCAATTCTATACTCCCTCTATGGGAAGTCATGAGACTATCCTAGTTACACCTAGTTTCTTACCTCCTTATTCACAATCATGTAACAAAGCTATGTGATCCAGCCTAACAGCTAAACAACGGGGCACAGGCCACAGTTTGGGACTAAGGTATTGACCAGTACTCTCTGTTTTCATTAGCCAAACACGGACAAGGATGTAAAAGGCATACTAAAACGACTTCATTTAAAAGATGCAAGAGTTTTTTTCCTTGTTTTCTTCAACAAAAAAAAAAAAACTTTTTACATATGCAATACACTACAATGGCAAATATACTCTTGTCCCTGCTTCCCAAATCCATAATATCAATAAGAAGTTGCCCTCCTATGCACTTTCCCATGCTATACTTTTCAATCTTTGTGTGTGTCATGATAATGGAGAGGTTAAGGGATAACATTCCTCACATCATGCAATGCAACATCGCTGTACTGTATCAACTTGTAGCACATGTACTGGGTGTGTTTTAGTTTCATTATAGTCCAGGTTGTTTAAATGCTTTAGTTTCATTAGATGGTCCAGCTAATTATTTAGGGAGAATAATGAACAGAACTGTACTGTCAGTCATGCCTAACCCAGAAGCATGGAAAAGTCAAGAGAATCCAAAGAAACTAAAAGGGTACTGTACAATATCGACAGGTGCACAAATACCAAACTTTGTGTTACATCAATGAGAAATTAAGTGTTATTGCATCTGTAAACATAAGCCAATTAGCACACTATCTGCCTTCATAACATAAAAAGTAGACTTACTCTACAGTTTTGTCATACTGTAACTTGTTATTTAATTGGTGAGCACTCAGGCAGATGAGTTTTGGCTGAGCTTTGAGTAACTAGCAGTTAGATAGCTTTCTCTGTCCTTTATGTTTTTTAAATGAGCTGCACTTGACCTGCAGAAACTGTCTGATGTTACAATACAGCAGCAGCTGTTGACAGAAATAAGACAAGCGGTGATGAAGAGAGCCGTCCAACATGTTATTTGTCAGGCAGGGAAGTGGAACACCTTGTCTAATGCTGAGGCTAATTATCTTGGGGTTTCTCAAGAAAATGTTCTCATTCCCCAACTTTTTCTTATTTTAATGGCTCAAAAACTGATAGTGCCAACTCATAGGGATGTTCCTTACTGTCAGGGCCAGTAAGTGTTGGAAATTGTGATAACACTGTTCTCTATGTACTATCATACCATAAAATCTTGGAATGGTTGTAGCATTGCAGTGAGGCACAGAGGCTTCAGATTTTAACCATTTTGGCCATTGACCCTGTATACTGCTTGAAATGAAAAACACTATAAGGCATATCCTCACTTAGTAATTTCTAATTTGTAAACAGTCTTTGTATTTTGCCTCTTTAAAAATTACATGTATTTGGAAAACCATAAACAACATACATATAAGGCACTATATACACAGACACAGATATTATATACACAGGAACAGCTTGGGGAGGTGCTACTGCATTATAACTTTGTGGGTAGTGGTCAACTTAAGTGATTACCTGCCAAATGCTTGATACAGTTCTAAGACATAATGAGTTCACATAACCAAATCTATACTCAAGCTATCCTGATAGTTTGCCCTTTCACATGCATACAAAATAAATATAATCTGAAATTATTAAAGCACTTATTTGTTGCAGGCTACAATTTCTCATCAGGTTGAATGGGATTTTTGCCTGCAGTCTGTAAAACTTCACCAATTTCGCAAGTAGGGGTGTAAATGATTAACCAATTTACTGTTAACTGACAAATAAACAATCTGTGCTATCAGTAAAAAAAAGCTAATGAAATGTCCAAAATACAACAGTTCCTTTATGAATATGTGGGTTTATCATTCAAATTGAGGATAGTTTGTGGATTGGTTCTGCTAGGTAAACTAAAAATAAAGCATGCAGCTAAAACAGGGGTGTTTGAGACCAGCTTTCAAGAGGACAATAGCACAACTACAACAATGTCTCACTTTGAAACCAAACATTCGCAAGCGAAATGTGTGCAAAATTATAGGGAAGGATGTGGTAGATGGTGTCAGCTTTCAAGAGCTACTGAGGTACACTGAGTCAAAGGTAACCCCCGTCTGTTCATTCTAACTTGAGCTAGTAAAGAGTGATAAATATAACTTTGGAAGATTAGAATATAGAACTTTCGATATTTATACATTCCGGTCAATTATTAAACGGGTCATATTTAATATGGTTTTGGGCTGTTTACTTCATATACACACTTATGCCTGACCCGTACAAGGAAAACTTTTTAATACGCTGGTGCATTAATACAGAATAATACAGATAGAGTGTTAAAGGCAGCAGAGACCCCACAACTATTTTCTATGGGTAGGAAAGGGATAAAGCCATGCCCTAGAGGTAGTGTCACCACTCTACACAATCTGACATTAAAGCGCATGTGCGCGTACACACACACACACACACACACACACACACACACACACACACACACACACACACACTTCCTTTCCATCAGGAAGGGCTTGTTTCAATGTTTCCATCCTTTATACCCACATGTGACCCTGAAAGGCAGTATTATTCAAGTACAAGTGATTCCTTTCAGACAGGAGACAGATTGTGATTCAAGCCCAAGATTCTCCCTACGCATATACACACACACACCTACCTACGCATTCTGCATGCCTCATCTAAACACACAAAGATACACAGACACAACTGCAAAGCCATGACTCACATCACAATGGAGATTCCACATAGTTACCTACACACAGGAATAACATGTTCCACCAATAACACCTTTTGTTATTGCCCTGCCCAACGCAGGTGTGGATGTTTAGCTTCACTTTAATCCTTTAGACAGGTGCATATGCATGAAAAGACAATGTGTAAGGATGTAGCAACTTGAAAATATAGCAGTCAAGATAGAATGCTCAGAGTTTCAGCCTGAATGCAAAATGTGCTGGTTATATTTAAAACTATGAAATGCATATTTTCAGGTAAGATGTACTCAGGGAATATTGCATGATTCACATCCATTATTCCTTACAAACAGCATATATACCTGCCCTGCAAAATGTGTCACCTTAAAATGTAACCTCAGTTTACCCCATTGAATATTCTGGTCTTAAATGACTTAAAAAAAGTAGCTGTCATTAGTGAGCCATTAATTTAATTAAATGTGTTTCATTTAAATTCAGTGACAAACATATTTAGCCAGTCCAACTTTTCCTTTTTCAGTGTAAATGGGGAAAAGGGCGAAAATCTATACAATGTATG